GGTTCTTTTCAAATATAATCTTGAAGAGGCTCCCTTGGCCACTTGGCTGAAACAGTCCACTTATCCCCCATCACATCATCTCATTTTCTTGTCTTTAAAACCCTTCATAGCATTCAGCATGACCTGAAATTATAAGATTAATTTATTTGCATCCTTTCTTCCTCTGTGGTCCTTACCTCTACATCTCCCTCCTAAATCTAAGCTCCACAAAAGCAGAGTGCTTGACTTTCTTATTCATTGACTTATCCCAAGGTTTTAGGAGGGCATCAGTTAAATGTTGGTTAAAAGTATAAACATCCCGAATGCCTATTTTTAGCAAGGCACTGTGTATTTATATCTTGCCTCATCTGATGCTCACAAATATTGTGACAAAGGTCTTATTATCTAAATTTACAATGAGGAAACAGGCTCATAGAGGTTAAGTGACTTGTCTAAGCCAATAAATGGTTTAGCTAGGATCTGTGGACTAGCTGTACTCATATCAAAGTAGGCTTCAGAACAAAAAAGTTCTACTAGAAATAGAGACATCATCATAAAGGAGTCAATTCATCAAGAGAACATAAAGATCCTAATATTTATACACTTAATAGTTCTTTAAATTGATAAAGCAAAAATCAATAGAACCGAAAGGAGAAATAACCACAAAATTATAGCTGCAGACTTCAACACGCCTCTCATTGTTTCACTGACAAAGCTTTTGGGGATGTTTTCCCATTAGCCCTGTGATTTTCAGTACACTATTTTATATGGAGCAGTGATTTTTTTGTTTTTTAGGAATACACACATCATGTTATAACAGAATTCACTCTATTTGTATTCCTTCTTTCCTCTCCATTTGTTGTTGGCTTCCTTTTACCTATATAGATACATAGCCTTTCTGTGTTGCCCAGATTTACAACTAGTACACTCTCTTCTGTCATGTGGCTCCCACATTTGCTTTAAAATTAGTTCTTTGGGGGCGCCAGGGTGGCACAGTCGGTTGACTGTCTGACTTTTGGTTTCGGCTCTGGTCGTGATCCCAGGGTTGTGAGATCAAGCCCTTCGTCGGGCTCCATGCTCAGTGCGGGGTCTGCTTGTTTCTCTCTCCCTCTCCCCACCATGCTCACTCTCTCTTTCCCAGATAAATCTTTAAAAAAAATTAAAAAACAAAATTAGTTCTTCAGTTAAATTCAGAGCCCACTACCAGCCTTTTTACCATCCTTTTTTTATGTCATTCCTTGGTTACCTGATATTCATTCTTTAGAGGCTTCTAGGAACAAAGATCCTAGAGTTCCTGTCTATTCAGAAAAGATTTGCTCTTTGTTAAAGAATATCTTCTTGGGCGCCTGGGTGGCTCAGTTGGTTAAGCGACTGCCTTCGGCTCAGGTCATGATCCCGGAGTCCTGGGATCGAGTCCCACATCGGGCTCCCGGCTCAGCGGGGAGCCTGCTTCTCCCTCTGACCCTATCCCCTCTCATGCTGTTTCTCTCTCTCTCTCAAATAAATAAATAAAATCTTAAAAAAAAAAAAAATATCTTCTTGGGGCGCCTGGGTGGCTCAGTCGTTAAGCGTATGCCTTCGGCTCAGGTCATGATCCCAGGAAGGACCCTGGGATCGAGCCCCACATCGGGCTCCCTGCTTCTCCCTCTCCTACTCCCCCTGCTTGTGTTCCCTCTCTCACTATGTCTCTCTCTGTCAAATAAATAAATAAAATCTTTAAAAAAAAAAAAAAAAGAATATCTTCTTAACTGGGCATAATATTCTCAATGTGACACCTTGAGGATTTTGTAGAAACTGCTCTTCTGACTCTCAGCTACAGATTTTACTTATAGAGAAGTCTGAGGCTATTTGGACTTTCTCTTTTATTGGCTGGTTGTTAAAATGACTGTTTTTTGAAATCTAGTGCCTTTATTAGAATATATCCTAATGTTGACAAGGACTGGCTCTCTTATATAGATTTAATCATATATCTCTTCCCTCACAAAAAGTGTTCTTGAAATATTTTAAATATTCTATTTCTTTTCCTTTCTATTTTGGGGAATGAATTCTCTGTATGGTATGTTTGCGAACTCTCTTTTTAATGTAATCTTCAAAATTTATTTCATTTTCTTCTTGCTTACCTTTCTGAACAGAAATCTGACAGTACCTATTCTTCCTTGGGATTTCCCCAATTTGCTTTCTTTACTGTGATTATATTTTCTGTTCTCTTTTCTGAATTTGACACCCACCATGTGCTTGCTACTATTCCCTTATTAATATCTTTCTTAAATTCTTGTATCACAGAGATAATTAATTCAGTTAGTTCACCCTTTGGAAATTCATGATTTAATATTTGGTCACATAATTTATCTACTTTAGGACTACTTTGATCAGATAACAATTCTATCACCAACTAGCTTTCTTCCCGATCTTTTCCACCCCTTTTTCTTTCAGTAGTTTTATATGCATTTTGTGCTGGTTCCTTTTCCATTACTCGGGCTCAAAGGATGTGAGCTTTTTAAGGAACAGCACACACTGCAAAAGGTTTACTTGGGAGAGGGAATAGAGTCATGTCTTAGGCTAGTGAGACAATTCATTATGAACAAGTGTTTTGCACATGTACTGGTCTCAGTTTATAGATCAACCAGGATGTGCTTCCTTCCTCGCCAGACTAGCCTCGGCAATGGCCTGCTCTCTTGGTAATGACTGAGTCAGGTCACTGGGGCTGGTGTTGCTGCAGCTCCAAATTGAGGAAAACCGAGTGTTGAGCTGACTTCACAGAAACTACAAGCCCAAGAGGCTGAACTGGGCCCATGGAGGCCCCGACTTCCCCAGCATCTGCCTAGACAAACTGATGCAATCCAGGAAAGAAAGGTAGTTAAAACTCTACAGAACAGTTTCATCTCATGAGAGAGGAATAAGACAAAAGATACTATCCTTTCCCTTCCACCTTTCTGACATGCTGCTCTGGCACACAGCGGTTCACATTAAGACTCAGAAAAGATCCTGCTACTCTGAGCAATCAGATGTGCTAATGACAGCGCTATAGTTAACGAGGTAATCACCCCCTGGAGCCATCCCCTCCTTCTAATCAGCCTTCACTCCCCACCCCCGCTTCCCGCATTTTTGTAGGTCTGCACATCCTGACCAATTGTTATCAAGTACGTTTTTGCTTCAAATTCTGTCCTAGGAGTACCCACTAAGATAGCATATAAGATTATTTCTGCACATTTAGGGGTCTGTTAAGTGGTTTTCCCTCATTTACAGTCTCTCTTGCACTGTCACAGAAATAGAGAAAATAGTTCAGAAACTGAAAAATACGGTCTGTGCTTCTATGCTTTACTACGTCTGCTTTGCAGAACCAAACTGTCACGAAGGGAGCTCAGCCATCTAGTTCACAGCACTGTTGTTCATCAAAGTTTTAGGTTTCACGCCTCAGAGGATGTACTCTGCTCATGAAAAGTGCGCTGCCGGTCCCTGTGAGCATCAGAAATGCTTTTGTTTTCTACCCACCTGCTGATATATACACTCCTTGATCCTTTCATCCACTTTGCTGCGTTTACATTTGTATTGATTTGGGATTTCAGATATCCACTAGTGTCATATAATGAACCTTGTCTTGCTCACTTTCCTTAATGCCTCTGGATGATTTGTGGGCAGAGAAAGAAAATGCTGACTTTATATATTCTTCTTCAAGAAGTTCATTTTGTCTTTGCAAACTGTCTTAACTTGGCTACAGAACACCACATTCTCTGTTTCCACCTTATCCCCAAACTGCTTCTTCTCTCTTTGCTGAGTCTTCTCATTTTCATGACTTCTGAACATTAGTATCCCAGGGGCCTTCAGACCTCTCAAATCTGTTCACGCTTAACTTTAAGGAGAGGTGGTTACCCGATCCCTTAGCTTCAAATACTAAATTTAAAAACGTTAAATACTACCACAAGTTGATAATTTCCAAATAAATATCTCCAACCTGGGGTCTTCCCTAAATTACCTCTGCTCATACAGCCAAATACTTATTCCCATGTAAACCTGTGTATTTTATAATCACCTGAAATTTGGTATGTGCAATCTAAACTCCTAATGACCCCTCTAAAACTGTTTCTTTCCAGTATCCCACATCTCAGGAACTGGTATCCATTCATCTGACTGCTCTGGGTGAAATTCCTGGAGTTGTTCTTGACTGCTTTCTTTCTCTCACATTCCTTATCCAACTCACAGCAGATCTTAGAGGTCCCATCTTCAAAACAGATACAGAAGCCAATCACTTTTAATCTTCTTCACCACTTCCAACCAAGGGTAAGCAATCATCACCTTTTCATAGACTGAAATACCGTCCTGATGGTCTCACTTTCATTCCTCTGCCCCTAATAGTATTTTCTTTGCCCAGCAGCCAGAGAGAAAATTTAAAAGATAAATAAGCATATGTCATTTATATTAGGTAAAATCATACAAATGGCTTCTCACTTTACTCAGAATAAAATCAAAGTCTTTATCATACCCCAAATGGCCCTACATAATTTGAGCTCCATTACCTCTACAATGCCAACTCTTACCACTCTCTGCTCACTCCTCCCCCAATCCACACTGATACTTGTGTGTCCTCAAAAACACAAAGTACATTCCTGCCTTGGTGGACTGACATTTAGTGTCACCTCTGCCATCAAGACTGCCCATGATGTTCACCCTCATTTCATTCAAGTTGATATCATCAAAATGCCTTTCTGAACTTCCTTTTCTCAAGTATTACACTTCATTATTTTCAATCTATAACTTCCTTGCTATTTTATTGACATGTGTACAGTATGTGTATGTATGTGCTGTTGTTTATTTCTTATCTTTCCCTATCAGAATGTAAGCTCCATGAGGTCAGGAACAAATTTAGTTTGCTGATGTGTTTCAGCACCTAAAATCTGAGTGAGGCACAGCAGGTACTCAGTATTTGTTTAATGTGAAAATGAACATATAAACAAACACGTGAGAATAAAAACAATTTATACCATGTCACCTGGTGTCCATCTGCTTAATACGTACTAACTCACCTGGGTAGCTCTGGCTTGGGGACTCTTCCTCAAGTATCCATGGCTGCTCTCCTTGCTCCAACTTCAAGATCACTTCTGGTTTAGGGACGCAACACCCTGAAATTGGGAAATGACATGGGAAATGGGCTAGGCTCGTAGGCTTCAGGGTCCTTGAAGAAGACAGAAAATGAGTCTTCAGGGGCCAATTACAATGTTTCATTGAAGAAGAAAACATTCTTTATGGTGTTTCAATAATCCTTCTGCTTAATACTTGAATCTCAAGCCTAAATATTATTAGACTCAACAAAGCTTCTACAGGTGTCAAACCAAGAAAGGAAGCGCATACTAGGAGTCTACATGGAAAACAATCCCTACCCACTGAGACAAGGTGGCTGTAGTTCTCCAGCATCACATCCCTGTACAGGATCCTCTGAGCAGGGTCCAGGTGCTGCCACTCCTCCTGGGTGAAGCCCACAGTCACATCCTCAAATGATAAGGATCCCTGAAACAGCACATTTGTGTTCAAATATAAGTAATCACAATTGGAAGACATGAAAAAGCTGTCGGAGAATTGTTTTTGTTTTTGTTTTGTTTTTTTAAAGATTTTATTTATTTATTTGAGAGAGAGAGAATGAGAGAGAACACATGAGAGGGGATAGGGTCAGAGGGCAAAGCAGACTCCCTGCCGAGCAGGGAGCCCGATGCGGGACTCGATCCAGGGACTCCAGGATCATGACCTGAGCCGAAGGCAGTCGCCCAACCAACTGAGCCACCCAGGCGCCCCTGTCAGAGAATTGTTACGGAGTTTACTATTCACAAGTAGAAAATGTGTTCTGGCACATCTACTTTTGCACTTGGTTGGAGGAGAAAGCATGAGACATTCCTCACCACTGTGATAAGTTACTGATGTCCCAACCATGTGCCTACATGCCATAAAGAACTCTCCTACCTTGAGAATCTGAAAACCAATAAAACCATGTCACTGTTCTCAAGGAGCATATAATCTGACAGACAGAAACATTAAGCATCCAACTACCATGTAGCATATCATCCTACTACAGTAAAAACATGTGCAAAGTAGAGTGAGGTTACAGAGGGGAGAAAAGTTCTATTCTTGCTATTAGGGTGGGTTTCACTGATAACAGAGTATCATTCATGAACCTGGGGCAACAGCATAAACATGTACACATCTAAAATATGTAGTTAAGGGGTGCCCGGGTGGCTCAGGCGGTTAAGTGTCTGCCTTTGGCTCAGGTCATGATCTCAGGGTCCTGGGATCGAGCCCCGCATCAGGCTCCCTGCTCAGCGGGGAGTCTGCTTCTCCCTCTCCCGCTCCCTCTGTCTGTGTGTGCTCTCTCTCTGTGTCAAATAAATACAAAAAATCTGGGCGCCTGGGTGGCTCAGTTGGTTAAGCGACTGCCTTCGGCTCAGGTCATGATCCGGAGTCCCTGGATCGAGTCCCGCATTGGGCTCCCTGCTCAGCGGGGAGTCTGCTTCTCCCTCTGACCTTCCCCCCTCTCATGTGCTCTCTCTCATTCTCTCTCTCAAATAAATAAATAAAATCTTTAAAAAAAATAAAAATAAAATAAAAAATAAATAAATAAATACAAAAAATCTTTTTTTAAAAAAATGTAGTTAAAGGAGTAAGTGAACACAGAGGAAAGTACTGTTGGGACTATGTTCACATAAAGAGCTATAGTAGTCTTCAGGGAATATGTTATTGAGTAATTCTGGACATAACTCCTGTAGAATAGGGTGTCCAAAATAGTTGGTTACTGTTCCATCTAGGAAACCTCTTTTCATAAATAGTAAACTTATAATGTCAGTCTATATATTAAATTGCTTTGTTATTATTTTTCCTAAGTCACTTTTATTTTTTCAACTGAATAAATTTGGCATGTAACATTGTGTAACTCTGATATGCTTATAAAATGATTGCCAATGTAGCTATATTTATCACATTACATAATTATAGTACAATATTATTAACTATATCCATTTCACTGTACGTTAGATTTCTTCATTCTTCTTTTTATGGATTAAAATAAACCTAGGGAGACACCTGAATATTTTCTTCCCATAACTGAACAGACTGTCTTGTACAGTTCCTAGGTTTTATACCACCCACTTATGAGATGACCACCGTGGAAAATATTGCAAGCAGACACAGAGACATATCATTCCCAGGTTATCAAAACAAACAGCTAATCAATACTCATGCCATATAGTAAAAATTGGTTAATAGGAAAAAGAACAGACTACTATCCAGAAATGTATAAAGTATTATTGAGAAAAAAACAAAGAATACCTAAATAAATAGAGGAATGCACTATATTCATGGTTTGGACAATTCAGTATTACAAAAAATCTCATTTCTCCACAAATTGGCCTATAAATTCAAGACAATCAGAATTAAAATCTTAGCAGGTATCTTTGTGGAAAATGGTAAGTTGATTCTCAAACTTACATAGAAACTTAAATGGCCAAGAATAACCAAAGCCATCTTGGAGAACAGAATGAATAAACTCACACTAATTATGCTAGGCAGAATCTCACATTAACTCCAATGGATCCAACACCTTAATATAAACTCCTCTTAAGTGGAAGAGACTTATGTCCCTGTGATTATGTTACATTTTATGGCAAAATAGATTTTGCAAGTATAATTAAGATCCCTTAATCAGCTGACTTCGGTCTACAAGGGAGACTGACTTGGGTGGGCCTGACCTAACCATGTGAGTCTTTTAAAGAACGTCAAATATCAGAGACTCTTCTACTGACCTCAAAGAAGAAGCAAGCTACTGTGAGTTCTACAGCTGTGCAGAAATAATTTCTGCCACATATGTACAGATGGGAACCCAACCAAGCCTTAGATAAGGAGTCCCAGGCAACAACTTGACTGCAGCTTTAATGCCTAAGAGAACCTAGCTAACCTATTCCTAGACACCTGATCCACAAAAACTGTGAGATAATAAATTTGTGTGGTTCTTACCTGTAAAATTTGAGGTAACTTATTATGAAGTAAAAAACTGATGTACTAGTGTACATAAAGATTTATTCTGAAGTTAGAGTAATTTGCCAGAGTGTGCTATCAGTAAAAGAATAAACTGAAAGATCAGTGGAACTAAATTTGTAGTCTAGAAACTGGACTGCATGGACACCTGGTTTATTAAGGGGAAAAAAAAAAGTGTTACAGAAGGGCAGTGAGAAAAGGACATTAAAAAAAAAACAATTTTGATCTCAATCTCACATAATATGCGAAAATCAAGTCCAGATGGATTATAGGTTAAAATGTGATCAGTAAAACTTCCAGAAGATAACACAAAAACTATCTTCACAATCTGTAGACAAGCAAAAAAATTTTAAGCAAGACACCAAAAGCACTAATCATAAAGGAAAAGAATGAAATAAATTGCATGACATTAAAATTAAGAACTTCTACTAATCAAAAGGAAACCATTAATTAAAAAAAAAGGAAATCAGGGCGCCTGGGTGGCTCAGTTGGTTAAGTGACTGCCTTCGGCTCAGGTCATAATCCCAGGGTGCTGGGATCGAGCCCCGCATCGGGCTCAGCACCTGCTCCTCAGGGAGCCTGCTTTTCCCTCTCCCTCTGTCTGCTACTCCCCCTGCTTGTGCTCTCTCTCTCTCTGTCAAATAAGTAAATAAAATCTTAAAAATAAAATAAAATAAAATAAATAAAGTAAATCAGCAGGAAATTTTGGCAACATATTGAAATGATAAAGGGATTATATCCAGAATATATAAAATACTTCTAAAATCAGTATGAGCAACACAATCTAATGGAAAAATGGGAAAAGGACCTAACAATGACTTCACAAGAGAAAAGACCCATGGCCAATAAACATGGTAAAAGGTGCTCAACCTAAACAGTCAACCACTGGATGAAAGGTCACTGGGAATAAGAACGTTCACATTGTCTCCAAGTTTCACCCAACAGATTATTAGTTTACAAAAAGGGAAAAGAAAATCTACTCTTCAAGTGGAGATATCTGGTAGTATTATCAATAATGGTACAGTCAGACCATATAAAAAGCATACAATAGGGGTGCCTGGGTGGCTCAGTCGGTTAAGCGTCTGCCTTCTGCTCGGGTCATGATCCCAGGGTCCTGGGATCAAGCCCCGCATCAGGCGCTCTGCTCAGCAGGGAGTCTGCTCCTACCTTTCCCTCTCACCCCGATCGTACTCTCTCTCAAATAAATAAATAAATAAGCATCCAATAAATGAGCCTAATAAAAATATATATTCTGAATCTAATCATGAGGAAAAACAGATCAGTCAACACAGACGTGGGGGCATTCTACAATCATGCTTCTCAACATGGCTGCACACTGCCAGGTGTTACCCCCAGAGTTTCTGACCTAACTGGTATGGAGTGTAGTCTCAGTACAGGAATATTCCAAGAGTTTCAGATGATTCTAAAGCACAGTTAAGTACAAGGAAACTATTTAACAAGACATGTGACCAGTACTTAAAAAAGAAAAGTCCATAATATGAAAGAATACAAGGGCATGATCTTTGATTGGATCCTAAACCCAACATAGTTTAAAGGACACTTTGGGTACAAATAGGGGTATATCACAAATAAAGAAAATATGTGAGGAAAATCCTTGTATTTTTTAACTTTGTAAAATGTGAAAGTTGAAGTAAAAATATTTAGGCATGAAGTTGTAACAAAAAATGAACAAAACCTACATAAAGAAAACTATGAAAGCATTCCTTTTAAAAACTACATTTAAAGAAACTGAAAGCTAGCCCATTTTCTCACATAGGAAATGTTAGCATCAAGATTTTGATTCATAAATTAATAGAGCAATTTAATGCAGTCTCAAAAAAAATACCATCAAGCTTCTAACCTGGAATAAGGCAAGTTGATTATATATTTGAACTGGAAAAAAAGCAAGGTAAGCCAAGAAAAAGCTGAAAAAAAGAGCAATGAGGAGAGCTAATCTACCAGACAGTACCAGACATAAACATAAAGCTCCTATAAATAAAATAAATTGGTACAGACACATAAATAGAAAGACGTATCAATGGAAATAGACTAAAATGCATCTGAAACTTAGTAAATGACAGACAGTATCATAAAGTAGGAAAAAGAATCTTTCACTAAGAGTGGCAGGATAATTTAATAGGTTAAGAAAAATAAAACAGGATCCATTCTCATCTATACATCAGGACAACTGCAAATGGATCAGTTAAGCTTAAATGTAAAAAAAAAAGGGGGGGGGCTATGTAAGTAATAGAAGAAAACATGGGTGAGTTCCCCCATAACTTAAGAAAGAATAAAACTTTCCTAACCATATCTAAAAATCTAGATGCAGAGCCCCCATAGCTCAGTCAGTAGAGCATCAGACTTTTAAAAATCCAGATGCAATAAAGTACTGATAAGATCTGACAACATAAAATTATAAAACAACCAAACAAATCCTCTGCAGAATTAAATAAAATAAAACCCAAAGAAAAGTGACAAGAAAAATGACAACCCAGAAGTAAGTATTTGCAATTTACATGACAAAGAAAGGGTTAGTACCCCTATATAAAGAGTTCCTAAAAAGGAAAAAACCAATAATCTTCTAAATACGGGCAAGAACTGTCAAGCGAAAACTCACAGGAAGAGAAATGCAAATGGCATTAAACTTATAAAATCAAGCTTACCCTTTAAAAAGAAAAATGTAAATAAAAATTATACTGAACCTTTGCAGCAAACTAATGCAAAGAGTAACCACCAAGGTAATAAAATCTGGTTTATGACTTCCAAACCAGAAGAGGGTAAAATGTGGAATAAAAGAGAATAAACAATTAAAAAAAAAATTATACTGAACCATTTCACTCCTATTGGACTGGAAGAAATCCAAAAGTTTAACAGCACACATACTTAATTTGTTATAGGCATAAAAGCATCCTCATATCCTGTGCAGAATGCAAAGTGATTAACTAACATGAAGTGAAATATGGCAATAGTTAGCTAAATTACATGATTTTACCATCTAACCCAGAAATCCCACTTCTGGGAACCAACTACAAGGACACATTGGCCAAAGAAAGAGGAGGTGTAGGAACAAGGCTATATCACTATTTATATTTACAAAAAAAACTAAAAACAACCCAAGTATTGATTACTAAGGAACTAGTTTAGTTGAATGTGTTATGGTATACTCACACCAAGAGTGCTAAGCAACTGGAAAAAGAAGTGAGGAATATCTCTATGTAGCACTACAGAGTGGCTCAGTTGTTAAGCGTCTGCCTTCAGCTCAGGTCATGATCCCAGGGTCCTGGGATAGAGCCCTACATCGGGCTCCCTGCTCAGCGGGGAGCCTGCTTCTCCCTCTCCCACTCCCCCTGCTTGTGTTCCCTCTCTCGCTGTGTCTCTGTCAAATAAATAAATAAAATCTTTAAAATAAAAAAAATAGCCAAAACAATCTTGACAAATTTGTCAAGAAGAATTTGTTCAGGAGAACAAACTGGAGAACTCACATGCCCTGACTTCAAACTTGCTACAAAGCTACAGTATCAAAACGGGAGGAACTGGCATGATAATACACATACAGAGCAAATGAACAGAATTGAGAGTCCAGAAATAAACCCATACATCTATGGTCAAATGATGTTCAACAAGGGTGCCAAGATGATTCACTGGGAGAAAAAAAATGGTCTCTTCAACAAATGGTATTGGAATTGGATATCCACATGCAAATGAATGAAAATGGACCCCTTCCTCATATCATATACAAAAATTAACTCAAAATAGATCAAAGACCTAAATGTAAGAGCTAGAAACTCTAACACTCTTAGGAAAAAACAGGAGTGAATCTTCACAATCTTAGACTGACAGTGGATTCTTAGATATGACATCAAAAGCAAACACAACAAAGGAAAAGAGATAAACAGACTTTACCAAATTAAAACCTTTTGTGAATCAAAGGATATACTTTCAAGAGAATTAAAAGAGACAACTCACAGAATGGGAAGAAATATTTGAAAATCATATATCTGATAAAAATCTAGTACCCGGGGCGCCTGGGTGGCTCAGTCGGTTAAGCGTCTGCCTTCGGCTCAGGTCATGATCCCAGGGTCCTGGGATCGAGCCCCGCGTCAGGCTCCCTGCTCAGTGGAGAGTCTGCTTCTCCCTCTCCCTCTGCCTGCCTCTCTGCCTACTTGTGCTCTCTATCTCTGTCAAATAAATAAATAAAAATCTTAAAAAAAAAAAAATCTAGTACCCAAAATACTCTTACAATAAATCCAATTTAAAAATGGGCCAAGGATTTGAATGGACATGTCTGCAAAGCAGATATACAAATATCCAACAAGCACATGAAAAGGTACTCATTAGTCATTAGGGAAAAGCAAATCAAAACCACAATGAGATACTACTTCACACCCACTGGGATGGCTATAATAAAAAGATAACAAGCATTGTCAATAATGAGGAGAAACGAACTCTCATACATTGTTGGTGGAAATATAAAATTGTGCAGGCACTGTGAAAAACAGTTTGGCTGTTCCTCAGTAAGTTAAAACTACAACTAAGGTACGATCCAGCATTTTCACTTCTCAGTAAATACCCGGAAGAACCAAAGACATGTATTCCAGCAAAACGTGCACGTGAATGTTCAGAGCAGCACTATTCACAATAGTGGTAAAGCAGAAACAAGCCAAATGTCCATTAATCAGTAAATGGAAAAACAATGTGGTCCATCTATACTGCAGAATATTCTTCAGCAATAAAAAAGGAATGAAGTCTTGGTAAAAAGGTACAAACATTCAACTGTAAAATGAAGGTCTGAGAATCTAATGTATAACATGGTGACTATAGTTGATATCACTGTATTGTACAAATAAAATTTGCTGAGAGAACTTAAATGTTCTCACCAAAAAAAAAAAAAAAAGAAAGAAATATCTGAGGTGATGGATGTGTTAGATTAGATGGGAGTCCTCTCACAATGTATACAAATACCAAAATCATCACGATGTTCACTACATATCTTACAGTTTTGTCAAATATACCTTAATAAAGCTGGAAAAGAAAAAGAACGAAGTCTGTAACATGTTCCAATATGGATGAAGTTTAAAAACATTATACTAAGTGAAGGAAGACACACAAAAAAAATACATACTGTATGATTATATACATATAAAAGATCCAGAAGAGGCAAGTCCATACTGACAGAAAGTAGATTAGTGGTTGTCAGGGTCTGGGAATTTTGGAGTTATTTTAAGGACATGCAGTCAATTTATTCTATAGAAGTTTTAGGTTTTATCAAGGGAAAACAAAATCAAACCAAGACCATGGGAAAGCTGTCTACATGGGCTTCAGTAATACAGTCTCCTAAAAAGCCTCATTAACTGGGTTCTGCTTGGTACTCTGTCTTTTGCTTCCACTGAAGGATAATTATAGGCATTTAGTTCATGGTTTGTCACCAGAAGGTTGTTCATCATTTATATAAATAGAAACAAAAGTTTTTTATTCAGCTCTTGATGCCAGAAAGTCTTTAGGTTCCAAAAGAAATTGGGATGCTTCACACACGTTTTTTTTTTTTCCCCCAGGGGCACGAGGGGAGTCGTGGCTAAAAGGTCAGAAATAGGGCTGCCTGGGTGGCTCAGTCGTTAGGTGTTTGCCTTCGGCTCAGGTCATGATCCCAGGGTGCTGGGATCGAACCGTGCATCGGGCTCCCTGCTCTGCGGGAAGCCTGCTTCTCCCTCTCCCACTCCCCCTGCTTGTGTTCCCTCTCTCGCTGTGTCTTTCTCTGTCAAATAAAATCTTTAAAGAAAAATAAAAATGAAATAAAAGGTCAGAAATATTTGCAAGTTAGGTCTGATAACCATCTAACTTCATATGATCCGTGTGTGTGTGTGTGTGTATGTGTCTATCTCCTTGCCACCTTTGCCCTATTGATCGGCTAATCCAATGCTACTAGTCTATAGACCTCAGTATCACCTGCAACCTTGTTCAAAATGAAAATTCTCAAAAAAAAAAAAAAAAAAAGAAAATTCTCAGGCCCCATTCTATGGTTTAAAACACTTCACAGTTTTGATCTGATGCACACTAAAGTTTGAGAACCACTGTGTCATGCTGTTCCCCTCAGGTTCATTTTATCTATTTCTACTTTCCTATTTCAAATATGAATCATTATCCTCATAAGATCCATTGTAAAACAAAGCAGAAAATGATTTCAACAACTCACATAGGACTTCTTCATATTTTGCTGGTCTCTCTTGGAAAAATGTAGAAATCTCTGAAGGCAGAGCTGGGATAGAAAAGGAGGAATGAAGTCATTAGAGGTACAGACTGTCTTGCAGTTCCTGGACTTGCCTTCTTAAAAAGCTGCAAACATCACCTGGGTGAAATGCCTCTCTGTGGGAGAATATCCTTTTCACCTTGCAGAAGGGGCAGGAAACGACACATGATAAAGCACCCAAATGACCACGTATGACTGTGATTTGGCCATGCAGAGCTTGGGTGTGCAATTTTTCACTGGGTGTATGGAACTGTTGTCTAGGACATTTTTAAACAATGTCTGTACCCCTCTGTTCTGTTTCAAAGTAATTTTAAAAATGAGAAAATTGGTTAAGCAAATTACAATACGTTAAATGAAGGAACACTAAACCTTCAGCAGAGGTTGTACAACAAAAGTTGTTACATGTATATTTCCTTGTTTACTTCTCAAGTTAGAGAACACAACCAAAGCTACAAAAAAAAGGATGGAGGCACTTTCAGGTAAGGGTACTTTTTAATTGTTTTTTTAAATTTTATTTTAAAGATTATTTATTTATTTATTTGACAGAGAGAGAGAGAGAGACAGTGAGAGGAAACACACGCAGGGGGAGTGGGAGAGGGAGAAGCAGGCTTCCCGCCGAGCAGGGAGCCCGATGTGGGGCTCGATCCCAGCACCCTGGGATCATGACCTGAGCCGAAGGCAGATGCTTAATGACAGAGCCACCCAGGCGCCCCTTTTTAATTGTTTTTTTAAAGCACATGCAGATTCTCAAATGGCTGTCTTTTAAGGAATGTGTTTTACCAGTGATGATGTGGTCAGCATGGACTGGGGTGGGGAGACTCAACACCTCCTCTGGGTTCTACCCCAACACAAAGCCAGAGAAATTCACTTACCCTCTCAGCACCAATTTCTCAACTTTCAAGAAGAAAAATAAACAACTCTTCTTGTATTGCTGTCCTATAAAGAACTCATCAGCACATCTTTAAATGCCAGATTCAAAGAGCTCAGAATCTGGGAAGAGTGAAAAATAAAGAGTGGGAGTTGAACTGGGATTGTTGAGACAAAACTGCCTCACATCTACTTTTAAGGCCTTTTCCCACAATCCCTGGAATGCCTCCAGTGAAGTTCTATTTTCCATGTCACCTACCCGTCCTTCACTCCTTCCCACCTGGCTGGCCTGGTCCCGGCTTCCCTCCATTAGGCAGCCTGGGAGCTTCTGAATGTGGCAACATTTTCAAATCTCGTTCATTCTGAACAGGCTGTGAAAACCTAGGATCTGCTCCTCTCTGAGAAATACACTGCCTCTGCTTAAAATTCACTCAAGAGGTGCCTGGGGGGTTCGGTCGGTTAAGCGACCAACTCAATCTCAACTCAGGTCTTGATCTCAGGCTCATGAGCTCAAGCCCCACACTGAGCCTACTTTAAAAAGAAAGAAAGAAAAAAAAACCCTCAAATAGTGGGATGGTTCTCTCCATCTAACATTATGTATTTAGAGACTCCTCCTTCTTACTTCGCTTTTCTAACGTAGATGAAAAATGCACCTGAGGGGCAAATTCATTTTTACTGGAATTGTCACCCAGGCCCACAGTTCAATATTCCATAGATTCTCAGGTCAGACCTTCCATAAACTCAAATCAAGGCTGCTGAGAACTGTTACAAACCTAACTCAGATACAATTATACTGTCTCTATCAAAGGCTCTGAAGACATCTAGAAATCCCAGAAAAAAAAATACTACATGGTTAAGATTCAATCGTTCAAATAGTTTCTTCACATGCCGAATTATTTCCGCTAAGTACTGTGCCCAAGACAGCAAGCTGCAAAGAACATGACATTTGGAGAAACAACTAAAATTGTCTTGTTGGGGCGCCTGGGTGGTTCAGATGGTTAAGCATCTGCCTTCGGCTCAGGTCATGATCTCAGGGGCCTGGAATCCAAAGCCGCATCAGGCTCCCTGCTTGCTGCAGAGCCTGCTTCTCCCTCTCCCTCTGCCATTCCCTCTGCTTGTGTTCCCTGGCTCTCTCTCTCCCTCTGTCCAATAAATAAATAAAATCTTAAAAAATAAAAATTAAAAAAATAAATAAAATTGTCTTCTGGTGGGGCGCCTAGTTGGCTCAGTCGGTTAAGGGCTGCCTTCAGTTCAGGTCATGATCTTGGGGTCCTGGGATCGAGTCCTTGGGTTGGGCTCCCTTCTCAGCGGGGAGTCTGATTCTCCCTCTCCCTCCGCCCCTCCCCCCGTTCATGCGCCCTCCCTCTCTCTCAAATAAATAAATAAAATCTTTAAAAAATAAAATTGCCTTCTAGTTTATCTGCTAGTGTTGTGACATAGGGTATATAACATTCCTCTCCATCTCAGTTTTCTAATTTGTTACAGCAGAGAGAGCTATACCGACCTAAGTGAGAGGTTGTGAGCATAAAGTAACCAGTGAGAAGAAATAGTCTATTAACAACAGCGGCTAATATTTACTGCTAGGCACTGAGCTACAGAATTTAATCCTCTAAACAACCCCATGAGGCAGGTGTTATTAATATCTTCAGTTTTACAGACGTAAAGCCTCACGTAGGTTATCGTTCCCAGATGATACTTTTATACTCTGTTCAGCCCTACATAAATCAAAGCACCCGCTCAACTCCCGCCGCTCTAGGACCGAGCGCACCCATTGCGCATGCGCAACGCGCGCTCCTCCCGCGACCGCATAAACCACGCCGCGGGATCCACGCGGAGTCCGCATCCTCCCCCCGGGTGCGGAGTCCCTGCCTCCCTGCCTCCCAAGCCGATCCCTCCCCCTAATAGAAATTCTCCGGTCCTGTGGTCCCTCCACTCGGCCGACGCCTCCTCGTACCCAGTCTCTCGGATAGAACAGCCGAGGGTCCCGCCAGGGTCCGCGAGCCTCTTCCCTACTGCCAGGCATCGCCGCCCCCGCCCGCTCCCTGGAGCCACGCAGGGACCCTCTCGGATCTCCCCAACCCTCTGGTCTCGCCCCTCCTCCCACTCGGGCCGCACCAACTCCCAAAGCGGCATGCAGACCTCCAGAATCCTGAACACTCCGGACCGTCTCCCACGGTATGCTGGAGCATCTAAAAGCGCCTGCGAGGTACTGCGCCTGCGCAGGAGGAGCCGCAGAAGACCAGCTCCCATGACCACGTGCGGCGGGCTCACAAACTTCCGGACTTCAGATCCCATAAGCCTGCTCGCCCAGGACTTTGGGGAATTTCGGAAACGTTGTTTCTTTACCAATTCAGAGATGGTAGCATGGGGTTGTCGCTTCTGTAGGCAGCCCTGAATTTTTTCAGTACCTCGAAGAAATAGTCTCACAACCAGTGTGCCTTTTTGAACGCCAAGCGACCAAAGGAGGCAAAAATGTAAATCAATGTGCGTTATGAATAGAAGTAGAAAGGGTACCTTACATACTAGAAAGCTAAACGAATTAGATACTAGGAAATGCTAGCAATAAAATAAAAATAATAGTTTCAAAGTAAACAATAGATAAAATAATAGCATTTCAGCAGCGAAGAAGGTAAGCAACTAGGACCTTCAAATGTCAAATAAAAATAAATCCACACTTCGGTAAGGAGAAACTTTTTTCAAAAAAGACTTGCAATCGGAACAATGCTCTGACTTCAGGATCTGAAAGCATCTCAAAATCAAATAGAAAAAGGCTTCTCTGGGGCACCTGGCTGGCTCAGTTGGGGGAGTTTGTGATTCGATCTCAGGGTTGTAAGTTCCAGCCCGATGTTGGGTGTAGAGATTACTTAAATAAGTAAATAAACTTTAGAAAAAGACTTTTCTTTTAGAGGGAGGAGTAAGATGGGTCAGCAGGAACTTTTGAGAGGAAACTGGGCAAGTGAGTGGGGGAGGTGAGCAAAATGCATGATGGGGTAGTCTGACGTGAAATGTTCCCACTGTGGTCAGCGGAGCTGTTCACGGTGCTTGCTCAGACCTGGGGACAAAACAAAATTCAGGACCTTGTGAATGGAAACAAAGCCTGACCAAATAGTCAAGGTAAGTCAGTGTGAACCTGACCTATAAAAAAATCCTAAAAGACATCCTTTAGCATGAAAAGGAAGGCGTTAGACATTAGATAGTAACTTGAAGCCATATTAAGAAAATAAAGAGTACCAATAAAGATAACTACACAGGTAAATATAAAAAACCAGTATCATTTATTTTTTTAGTAACTCCTCTGTTTCTCGTGTAAGGTAAAAGACAAATGCACCAATGATAAGTATAAAACAATGTTCATACCAAGAAACACATAAATTACCAAAACTGAAGAAGAAATAGAAAACCTCAACAGATTCATAACAAATAGAAATTGAATCAGAAATGAAAAACCCCAACAAAGAAGAGCCTACTATCAGATGGCTTTACTGGTGAATGCAACCAAATATTTAAAAGAATAATTAACATCAATCCTTTCCCAACTCTCCCATAAAATAATGAAGGAGAGAACACTTCACTCATTCTATGATGCCAGCATTCTCCGTATTCAAAACAAACAACAAAGGCATCACAAAGAAAAACTACAGATGAAAATTATCAGTATAGTTATAAAAATCCTCAACAAAATACTAGCAAACACACACACACACTCTCTCTCTCTCTCTATACTAGCACTGATATATGAATTAGGTTAAGTTTTAAGATACAAGATCAATACTGAAAAAATCACTTATGTTTCTATACAGCAGCAATGAATAATCTGAAAAGGAAATTAGGAAATTCCATTTCCAAAGGCATACAAAAGCATAAAATACCTAGGAATAATCTTAAGAGGGAGATAAAGAAATTATACACTGAAATCTGTAAAACATTGCTGAAAGAATTGAAGTAGACTGAAATAAATGGAAAGACATTCCATGTTCATGTTATGGAAGACATAATGTTAAGATGGCAATATTACTCAAAGCAATCTACAGATTCAATGCACTATCCATCAAAATTCCAACAGCCATTTTGCAGAAATGAAAAAACCTATCCTCAAATTCATAAGGAAATATGAAGCATCTCCAATAGCCAAAGCAATGTTGAAAACAAAGTTGAATGACTCACACCAAATGGTTTCTAAACCTACTACACAGCTACATAAAAGAGAACAATGTGGTGCTGCTTTAAGGATACACCTACAGAATAATGAATAGAACTGAAGGTCCAGAAATAACCACATACACCCATGGCCAACTCATTTCTGACAGTACGTATTGGCAAATAAAGACAAAGATGAATAGAACAGAATAGAAACCAACACAAATACAGTCAACTGATGATTTTGGCAAAAGAGCAAAGGCAATTAATTTAATGGAGAAAGGATAGTTTTTCAACAAATAATGCTGGAACAATAGGACAAACAAATGCAAAAGAAATGAATCTAGACATAAAACTTACACTTTTCACAAAAAATTAACTCAAAGTGGACCATAGACCTAAATGTAAAACCGCAAACTAAAAACCTAGAAGAAGAAAGGTGAAAATCTAAGAGATTTTGGTGATATATTTTTATATACAACACAAAAGTATCATCCATGAAACAAAAAAAATGGGCAAGTGGGACTTTATTAACATCAAAAACATCTACTCTGTGGAAGACAATGCTAAGCAAATGAAAAGACAACAGAATAGGAGAAAATATTTGCTAAACACATATCTGATAAAGAATTTGCCAAAAAAGAGAAGAATTTGCATCTAAACCATACAAAGTGTTCCTAAAACACAATAAAAAAGAGCAATCCAATTATTGTATATTAAAGTATATTCTGAGAAATAACAAAATGTAAATATTTAAAATATCACATATTGTTATGACATGTTGAGATTGGCAAACATTTAAAAAATCATATGAAAAGTGTAAATACTAGGAGATATCCAGGTTCGACGTGGATTTGGGCAACTGGGTATTTCTACCAAATTTTTGTGTAAGTATTAACTTGCTAGAAGCTTCTTTGTATCACACTTAAAAATGAACATGTTCTTTATTGCTAGATAAATCATCAATGCAATTAAAGAAACTATCACTACAGGATATTACAGGAATACAGTGAACAACTTTATATTCATAAATTCAACAACTTAGAAGAAATGAACTTCTTGAAAATCACAAACTTCCGAAACTCAACCAAAATGAAACAGACAATCTGAATAGTCCTACAACCATTTTAAAAACTGGATTTGTACTTAAAAATCTCCTAAAAAAGAAAATTCAGCCCCATTGATTTCACTGGAGAATTCCACCAAACATTTAAAGAAGAATTCATTCAATTTTACACAATCTTGTTCAGAAAATAAAAGAGGAGGAAACACTCCCCATCTAATTTCATGGGCATATTATTACCCTGATACCAATATCAACCAAGAAGTACAAAAATAAAACTACAGACCAATATTCCTCACGAATTTAGATGCAACAATCCTCAACAAAATACTAGCAAACTGAATCCAACTATATATAGATATGGATAAGATATCTATCTACCTATCCATAAAATACACCATGACCAAGTAGAATTTATTCCTGGTAGACAAAGCTGGTCCAACATCAAAAAATCAACGTAATCCATTATATCCACAAGCTAAAAGTCACCAGCAATTCTACATAAAGTCATTGTTTAATTTCAGGATTTCTCCATTGCATGTATAGGCACCAACTAGCCTTCACTGTGTTGCCCCATGGGTACTGTATGTCAGACAATCAGTGCTATGAAGTTCCTCTGGCTGGTGCTTTTGCTGATAGTAATAAACTGCCTTTATCTCTGACCCAAAGACCTTGTGTTTTCTGTATTTGTGTGCAAGTGTATATTTGTGATTTTACCTTTCTTAAAGCTAATAATTTAGCCAGTTACAGTTTTATCTAAATGGCAGGCTAACTTGTTAGCTTGCAAGTAAGATAAGAATCTCATACCCTTCACAGTTTGTAACTTAATAGCTAATGTCCACCAAAGGGCATCTATTACAGAAGGCATTTTTGATCAGGTGGACAAAATAGTATGCTCTGTGAATGTCAGCAAGCCTCTTTCCCCATCTACCAGAGTGATCATGGCCTCAATTAGCCCATGAGTAAAGTGGCCATGGTAGCAGGGATGGACATTATACATGGGCTCAGCAACATGGACTTCCCCTAACCAAGGCTGACTTAGATAATGCTACTGCTAAGTGCCAAATCAGTCGTCAAGAACAGAGATCAACACCACGTCCTGATATGGCAACATTATCTGGGAGGACCAATAAGCCACCTCCTGGCAGGATGTTTATATTTGGCCTCTTCCATCATGGAAGGGGCAGAAATTCATTCTTACTGGAACAGATACATATTCTGGATATGGATTTGTCTTTCCCATCTGCAATGCTCCTGCCAGCACCACTAGTTGTGGTCTCAAAGAATGCCTTATTCACTATAGTAGTATTCCCCATAGCACTGCCTCTGGTCAAGAAATTCATTTCACAACAAAGGAAGTGCAGCATTAAGCTCATGCCCATTGAATTAACTGGTCTTACCAAATACTTTATCACTCTGAAACAGCTGGTCTAACTGAAAAGTGGAATGGCTTACTGAAGATTCATTTATGTTGCCAACTGGAAGACAACATCCTCAGAAGGTAGATACGGTCTTTAGGAATGCAGTATATGCTCAAATGAGCGTAAGTCACTGCTGCTTCCCCCATGGCTGCTAGGTCCCCGGCACTTACAGAGCATTATTGGCCCTACCAAATCAATGGGGGGATTTTTTAATATACACCCCCAGTGAATTTTATAATTCACACCCCCAGTCCACAAGATTTTAGGCCCTCAGGGGTTTTAGAAACCCAGAGACTCCTCAACCCCAAGAAGACCCTATAAGCCTCAGGGCCCACACAAGTTTTCCCACTTAAAGCAAATGGAGTAGGAGCACTAGGGCCAAGGTGATGCTGTTCTTGATTCACATTAATGTATTTACAAATACTATTCTCAACAATAATGTTTTTATTTAGGTCTTGGCTCATGTTGAAAACAGTTGTGATGGTTGCTCATGCAATGTTATAAATGTACACTCACACCATGTACAATAGTCGTCAAAAAGATTACCATGAATAAATCCTCACACGGAGATGTTCACACAAAAGCAAATAATATCCAAAAACTTTCAGCAGCTTTCAGAAGCATTCTCACGAGAAACTAAGCAGAAAAAAATAAAATGCCACCTATAAAGTGCTTAAAGAAATATTTAAGGTTATTCTCTTAAGAAACCCACACTACATCTGAATATAAACATAGGTTTAGAGAAAAGAATGGAAATATAACATGCAATCGCTAACCAAAACAAAACTGAAAAAACTCTATGAATACTAGATAAACTGATGTCACCACAAGGAATATAATCCAGGATGAGGCGCAACATTACACAATGTAAATGAGACCGATTATCCAAGAAAGCATAACAATTCTAAATGTGTATGCATCTAACAACAGAGCTTCAAAAGACAGGAGGCAAAAACTGATGGAACCGAAAGAAAAAATAGAAAAGTCCCTAATTGGAGACATTGACATTTTTTTCAGCGGAAAGAAAATCAGTAAGAATTTCAACATAAACAGCACTACCATCCAAATAAACAGAGGGAGAGGGAGAGAG